AACTGCAACGATTTTAGTAAAAAACAAGACTGGATTATTTATCCATTGCCGAGCAATTTTGGATTCAGCTTCGCAGCTAAATTTTGCTACTACCAGGTTGTTCAGCTAATTACCGTTGAAGAAAGCGAAATTTCCTATACTAGTTTCAGGAAGTGAAGACTCAGGTACAACAGTTGAATACACAATCGATATTACCTTTAAATCTATTCACAGTATTTAAATCTATTCACATAAATACTATTACGGCGTCTGTAATGCCAACAATAACTGAGCGTCAGCCAGCCACCACCTTAAGCATATCACAATGGAACATCACGGGCAACATAAAACTGGCCGATCCATCATTTAATACTTCTCGTCGAATCGACATCTTAATTGGAGCCAGCATGGTTTTTGATTTATTATGTGTCGGCCAATTACGTCTTAAGGAACCAATGCACATTTTGCAAAAGACTCTTCTTGGCTGGACCGTATCTGGTGGTAAACAGGGCTCTGTAATGAGTTCGTCATATGCGGTGACATCAAAAATCGTCGACAACAGACCATCTGAAGCGCTTGATCAAATGGTTCGCAGCTTTTGGGAGACAGAAAACTGTTTCGACGAAACCATGAAGATAACGAAAGAAGAACTTGATTGCGAAATGCATTTTCAGGCAAATTACCATCGTTTGAGCAGTGGTGAGTACTCAGTTCGTCTGCCTGTTAAACAGGATATAAACTTTCTTGGTGACTCATATCAACATGCCCTGCGTCGACTGTTTTCACTGGAACGGCGTTTACAGCGAAATGCCTATGTAAGATTACAGTATGAAACGTTTATGAGAGAATACGTTGAATTAAAACACATGTCGCTTGTGGTCCATCCGCCTAATGTGCCGAAATATTATCTTCCGCTCCATTGCGTTTTTAAGGAAGATAGCACAACAACTAAGCTGCGCGTGGTTTTCGACGGTTTATTCCAAGCTATTAGAGCCATGTTGATGACATGATCACTGGCGCCAATACTATTGATGTGACCAATGAAATTATGCAACAAACTTCAAGCGGTGTTGGCTCAGACCCCTCCAGCTGATAGGGAAAAGCTTCTCAAATTCGATGACGGCACCACCATAACAAAGGCTTTCGGTTTGCAATGGAATATAGATGAAGATTCTTTTTCTTTGCTTTCACGCCATTTCACAAACCACACAAAATAACGAAGCGATCGGCACTCTCAATTGTCGCACGATTATATGATCCGCTAGGTCTGATAGGACCATTCGTATTAAAAGCTAAAATATTTATCCAGCAACTATGGATAGAAAAATTGGACTGGGATGAAAGTTTACCGTTGTTGCATGCAGTAAGTTGGAAGGATCTCTACAATCAATTCGAAGGCGTCAAGTACTTAACGTTCCCTCGTTTCATCGCTAAACGAAATGCATCGTTAGAGCTGCACGCCTTTTGTGATGCTAGTTTGTCTGCTTACTGGTCTTGCGTTTACATACGAGCTAACAATGGGAGCAGCACACATACTATCCTACTTTGCTCAAAGTCAAGAGTTGCTCCAATCAAATCACTCACGGTTTCGAAGCTCGAACTATGTGCTGCCTATGTGCTTGCACATCTCGTGGAGCAACACCAACAGAACTGAATAATTCTTCACTATGGAAACATGGTCCGTCGTTTTTACTAAATTCTTGCGATAAGTAGGCTAAATTATGCATTCTGGATCAAGAACTTCCAGAAGCTCGTAAATGTTTCCTGCTATCTGCAAGCTCTGCTGCAGATATCTCGGTAAACTGCAAACACATAAACTCATTTTCATCTATGCAAGGCACATTCGGCTAAGTCTACATGTTTATTAAAAGGGATAGCTCTGGAAATTTAACATCAAACAAAATTCAGAAAGGAACGCATTTATTAATTCGTATGATTCAAATGGTAAATTTTTCGTCTGAATATAATTCGCTACAAAAGAAGAAGCAATTTCCGCAACAAGTGAATTATTCTCTCTATCACCTATTCTGGATGCATTTGGACTTCTAAGAGTTGGTGGTCGTCTCAAAAACACAGTTTTGGATTTTCACTCACAACATCCAATTATTATGCCGAAACGTCATCCACTTACAGTTTCTATGATTAACTACTTTCACTTAAAATATTTACACGCAGGTCCTCAGGCATTACTTGCGTCAATTCGTCTACAATATTGGCCACTAGGCGGTCGACAAATGGTTGCACAGATAGTCAACAAATGCGTCATATGCTTTCGTACCAAGCCCAGATTGATGGAGCAGATCATGGCGGATTTGCCGGTCGAACGAGTGCAAGCTTCTAGACCATTCTTTACAACTGGAATAGATTTTTGTGGTCCGTTCTATTATCAGTCAGAAATTCGAAATAGGCAGCCGTTAAAATGTTACATCGCCTTACTTATTTGTTTTGCTACAAAGGCGGTTCATCCAGAGTTCATCGTCAAGGACTTGTCTACATCTGCGTTATTAACTGCATTAAAAAGATTTATTAGCATACGAGGTAAGCCGAAAACTATTTGGACTGACAACGCAACCAACTTTGTTGGAGCCAAAAACGAGCTGTTGGAGCTGAAGCGATTGCTTCTAAGTAGCGAACACCAAGACAAAGTGCACAAAATATGTCTGGATGATAGTATCGATTGGAAGTTCATACCGCCCAGATCTCCCCACTTTGGAGGACTTTGGGAAGCTGGTGTTAAATCAGCGAGGTTTCACTTCTACAGAGTCGCAGGTTCTTCGGGGTTATCTTTTGAAGAACTTCGCACACTTGTCTGCCAAATCTCAGCGATCATTAATTCCAGACCTCTTATTCCACTTACAGAGCATCGTGATGATCTTTCAGTCCTTACACCAGGGCATTTTTTGATTGGCGGTCCCTTCACAGCTACAATAGAACCGGATATGACAGAGATCAACATTAACAGACTTGGACATTGGCAGCGCATTTCTCAGATGCAACAAATTTTTTGGAAAAAGTGGAGTACAGAATATCTTACCCAACTACAACAACGATCTAAGTGGCGTACCGAAAGAGAAGGTATCAAAGGAGGTGACATAGTGCTCATAAAAGATGAAAACCTACCGCCCCTTCGCTGGCCGCTGGCACGAGTCATTGATATAATTCCTGGATCCGATGGTATAGCGCGTGTAGCAAAATTGAAAACAAGCTCAGGGTTTACCAAAAGAGCTATCACAAACCTATGCTTGCTACCATTAGACGATCATCTTGAAAGCTTAAACTTTCAACGGGCGGAGGATGTTGGGAACCACAGCAATGAATAGCACCCAGCAGTTTGGCTTTGCAATTCCTTCTTTATTTTACCATTCGCTCTCAATTCGTTCTTAATAACTATATACTTGTTCAGTTATACTCAGCTCATGTATTTCTCATTGTACTCATTTTCTACCGCTAATTTGTTACCCTAATTTACAGTAATCTTATAGTACATACGTTTTGCTATTTAAGAGCTCTCTCATCACTTATTTTTTTGTCATTTATTTTAAATACCTTGTTGAATAAAGAATATCGTGGTCGAGACAAAACAGTCTCCAGACTCTATACACCGCCCATATGTGGGGCGCTGGGTGCAGCTAACCAAATGCTGAGAAATAGCAATGATAAAGAGTGTTAAACTATGAGTAGTGTTTCTGGACCAATATTGTACATACTGTACACCGCAGATATTAAAACAAGTGACGATAACTACTTCATTATTTGCGGATGATACTGCTATACTAATTCAACATAAATGCCCAATTATAGCCACAAAAATATTACAGCAGCACCTTTAACTAATTGAAAAATAACTGCATTATTCAACATAAATGCCCCATTATAGTCACAAAAGTATTCGCTAGCACCTTAAACTAATTGAAGAATGGCTAGCGAAATGATGCATAAAAGTTAATGAAAACACGTGTAAACACATCCTTTTTACACTAAGCCCAAAAACGTGCCTTACTGTTAAGCTCAACAATATGTCGATATCGCAAGCTGACAAAATTACATACCTCGGAATCCCCATGGACAGGCGCTTAACCCGGATATGACACATTGCTGCTAAAAAACTGTAGTTTAAACTCAAATATGTCAGCATGTATTGGCTTTTAAACAAGAAGTCTGGATTTAGCCTTAGCAACAAAGCCATTTTATATAATGCAACATATGGATGTATGAAATCCAGTTATGGGGCACAGCTTGAACGACACTTTGACCCACGCATCAAATGAAATCTGCCTGCAGTTAAGAAACGAAACAGCCTTCTAAAGATCAACGTCAAGCTAACAGCCCTTTCCTACTAATGGGCTTTTTGTTTTAATTTAGTTTAAGATTTTATTACTTAAGCTGTTTTATTAGATTCTTGTTCGCCTAGACGACAAATGCGCCTAAATTTGAGATACAGCGTTTACTAAATTTGTGTCATTACATTTTGTGCTGCTTATTCGCCACACGCAGCAAATTACGTAAAAACGCAAGATGCCTTGGACCATAGTAGCAACGACCGAACATCTGCCCGTGCCATCAAAGCCATCATGAACTATCACTACGTCGACGATTTTGTAGATAGTTTCGACACTCCCAAAAAAGATATAGACGTCGCTACAAAAGGCAAGCTCATATATCAGCAGGTTGGGTTTCAGATCCACGACTTTACATCAAAAAGTTGAGATGTAGTTGTGGCACTTGATGGAATCAACATCACCAAGCTTCTTAATAACAAAACTGAATGTGTACTTGGTCTATTTTGGCATCCCGCCTCGGATTGCTTTAAATTTAAAATAAAACGGATTGCTTTAAATTTAATAAATGGACAATGGAAGGCCGGAGAAGTTCCAACATTACGTTTCACGACTGTTCCAGACCATACGGCATGAGCATGCTGACAACATCGAAGAGTGCTTCTTGTGGAGTGACTCAATTACTGTCATCAAGTGGCTCCGAAGCTATTTTCGGTGATACAAACACTTTTTCCAACCCAAAGGTGCAGGAATCCTAAGGTCATTGCTAACTGTCAAGTCTTCTCCATACGCAAGACTGTGCCTATAACACCACTGATGGAACCCTTTCCAGCAGATCGGGTCACGCCGTACGTAGACGGCTTTGCTTTGATCCAATAAACGTAACCATGCAAGGAAGCACGGAGAAAATTTGGGCGGCTCCTTTTTCGTGCCCATCATACGAGCAGAACGCCTGCATAATTCCATTACGAAATATTGTAAATCGTCGCCTTTCACCAANACGACTGTTCCAGACCATACGGCATGAGCATGCTGACAACATCGAGGAGTGCTTCTTGTGGAGTGACTCAGATACTGTCATCAAGTGGCTCCGAAGCAAGTATCGGTGATACAAACCCAATCCAACCCAGAAGTGCAGGAATCCTAAGGTCATTGCTAACTGTCAAGTCTTCTCCATACGCAAGACTGTGCCTACGTTTAATACGCGCGACAACTGAAAATTAATATGTGGAGATGTTTGCTTTTATTAGATAATAAGCCTAGCTCCAAGACATTTCACCTCAAATCATTAATTCAAAAACGTACAGCGTAAAGCCATTAGGTAAATTGAAAGTCTCTTTAACAATAATATAATATACGGCCGATAGCCCAAGCTGCTAGTTGCTTTCTATGTAATGTAATTATTAATAATTATATTTCACTCAAATAAATAAATAAATAAAAATAATATACAATCCCAGAGATATTGAAGTGATTCAACAATGCACTGAAATTATTAAAATTAACTACACAAATTTCCATTCCATTTATGGCTACATCAGACAAAATTGTCTCATCTGGGGCTCGGAAAACCTAAGATTTATTGTTGAAAAGCCATCCATTGTCAACGTGCAACTGTTTGGTGCGTTTTACAGTCCGGCGAGACATTTGGACCTTATTTTTCTGAAAGTGAATAGATTGGGCTAACGAGAGAGGATTAATGATTTTTTATGGTCGGAATTGGATGGTATTGATCTGGACAACTTTTATTTTCCAAAAGTCGGCGCTAGTGCCACACAAGCAACGAAACCATCGAACTTTTAAGGGAAAGGTTTCTTTGAATAAGAAAATAACACCTCTTATTGGAAAATCTTATACTCCGCTTAAACGCAATTTATTTTTCGACGGTCAAGGAATAATTTGGGTGAATGGAAGACTGAAATATGCAATAATTGCAATAAGTGCCAGCATATTTTTTCTTCACCAGGAAATTTTAGTTTTTGTGTGTTTAAATGTAGATTTTATCCAATCCTTACATTAATATTTGCTGGTCTCAAAATGGACAAAATTACCGACGGCTTCAAAGTTATGACTGTCAACAGTAATGTGGGTGCCGAGTCGCGAAAGTGATGACTGTTTGTTTGTTTGTTAATAGGAGATATTTCAGCTCTGCTGCTCGTATTATTTTCCTCCGGTAATAAATTAAAGAAATCGAACGATAAGGAATCACTTAGCCTAAAACCTTGTTAATAGGTGCAGACTCTTTAGTCGTCCCTTTTGTAAATTGGGCAGAGTGCACAGGGGAATGCGCCTTTTCACTTCTTCACCATCGTTTTTGAATAGCCCGGCCGGTAATCCATCGGCTCCGCCGCTTTGTTGTTCTTCAAGCGACCGATTGCTATTGGAGCTTCTTCATATTCGGGCAATGAAGCATTTTTTCCATAGTCATCAATTCAAAATTATTGAAAAATCGTTTTTCCTATTCTACTGTTAGCAACATAGCCGCCCAGTTGCATCCAACACTGCCGCTGTCAACGCAACGCTTTCGTCCGGAACAAATCAATGTGTGTGCGAACATCAGCTTGTTATTTGCCGAAGTCCGTAATAGTTCCGCAGGACTACGTCAGCTGCAAAATAAGCGTACAGTGTGCATCAGACAACTAATATGCATCCATCGCTTGGTTCATATAGGCGGAACTTTTCAGTGTCACTAACTGCTGCCAGCACCGGTTATAACCACAGAGTGATGTACTTGCCAGATCATCAGTTTATGCCTCGGAAATTGTTAAACCTTTCAGTGCTCAGTGGTCCAATCAACCTGTTCCCTTGTTTATCTAAACTTTTCGAAAAATGCTGCTATAAAAAATACTCTTTTTCTCCATCAAAATGATATTATTCCTACACATCAATTTGGTTTTCTGGAAAAACGCTGCACAATTGAACAAGTAATTCGTATAACAAATGAAATAAGGAAGCTTTTGAATTGAGAGAGTACTGCTTGGCCGTTTTTCTTGATGTGGCGAAAGCATTTGGAAAAGTATAAAATTAAAAAATCATTACCTTACACTTTCCACAATATCCTTAAAACCTACCTATCGAACAGGCGATACATAGTAAAAGTAAATGAATATTTAACAGGAGAGTATCCAATCACGACAGGTGTTCCGCAAAGTAGTGTTTCTGGACCAATATTGTACATACTGTACACCGCAGATATTAAAACAAGTGACGATAACTACTTCATTATTTGCGGATGATACTGCCTGAAAAATATTACAGCAGCACCTTTAACTAATTGAAGAATAATTGAATAATTCAACATAAATGACCATTATAGCCACAAAAGTATTCGCTAGCACCTTAAACTAATTGAAGAATAGCTAGCGAAATGATGCATAAAAGCTAATGAAAACACGTGTAAACTCATCTCTTTTAAACTAAGGCCAAAAACGTGCCTTACTGTTAAGCTCAACAATGTGTCGATATCGCAAGCTGACAAAATTACATACCTCGGAATCCCCATGGACAGGCGCTTAACCCGGATATGACACATTGCTGCTAAAAAATTGTAGTTTAAACTCCAATATGTCAGCATGTATTGGCTTTTAAACAAGAAGTCTGGATTTAGCCTTAGCAGCAAAGCCCTTTTATATAATGCAACATATGGATGTATGAAATCCAGTTATGGGGCACAGCTTGAACGACACTTTGACCCACGCAGCAAGTCAAATCTGCCTGCAGTTAAGAAACGAAACAGCCTTCTAAAGAGCAACGTCAAGCCAACAGCCTTTTCCTACTAATCGGCTTTTTGTTTCAATTTAGTTTATGATTTTATTACTTAAGCTGTTTCATCAGTTTCTTGTTCGCCTAGACGACAAATGCGCCCAAATTTGAGATACAGCGTTTACTAAGTCTGTGTCATGACATTTTGTGCCGCTTATTCGCCATACGCAGCAAATTACGTAAAAACGCAAGATGCCTTGGACCATAGTAGCAACGACCGAACATCTGCCCGTGCCATCAAAGCCATCATGAACTATCACTACGTCGACGATTTTGTGGAT